CTCATTAATTCTACATTATTCTAGCATATAATATGCTAAGGACCAAATATGTGGAATGGTCCAGTGAGAACCATAAAACTTTAGTACTAACCAGACACCAAATTCCTTTGTATCCAGATAGTTGATCTAGTGTCTTGAATTACCACAGTGAGCAACTGAAGTAAATCAGTTATGTAGCAAACACTGAATCAATGATATAGCCAGAAGAAAAGATATGATTTGTTTCTCTAGAGACCTAGAATGAACAGAGTAATAGAATTTAGTTCTATGGGAACCAGCAGTTAGCGTAATGACTGTCGCTGGACTCCCACGTAGTTGACCGCAGTTTGCGTCCCGGACCCGGTGGCTTAAAACTCACGCCGGGCGCGTGTGCATGCGTGCCCAAGATCCCGAGAGGAGAATGGAGGAGAAGGGATTGCAGCGTGACCATCCCCCCTGGGGGGTGATTTCTCGCTTTCTGTCTCTATGTCTCTCTCTGTCTGGCGAGCGCAGGCACCCTATAGTGAAAAAACCTCTCCAAAAAAAAAAAAGAAGAATTTAGTTCTATAAGTGGTCAATCTAACTTTCTTAATGTTTATTAGTGTATTAAAAAGGAGAAAATTAGGGAACCAGCAGTTAGCGTAATGGCTATGTCGCTGGACTCCCACGTAGTCGACCGCGGTTCGTGTCCCAGACCCGGTGGCTTAAAACTCACGCCGGGCGCGTGTGCGTGCGTGCCCAAGATCCCGAGAGGAGAATGGAGGAGAAGGGATTGCGGCGTGACCATCCCCCCTGGGGGGTGATTTCTCGCTTTCTGTCTCTATGTCTCTCTCTGTCTGGCGAGCGCACGCGCCCTACAGTGAAAATCTCTCCAAAAAAAAAAAATAAAGAAAATTATAAAGTAGAAAATAAAGACCAACTACCCCATAGCTCAAGTAACCCTTATTAATATATATATTTTTAAAGCAAGGTTTTGGGGACCAGTAGACCATCGCTGGACTCCCATGTAGTCAGCTGCAGTTTGCGTACTGGATCCGCCAGTTTAAAACTCACTCCAGGTGTGTGTATGTGCGCGTGCATGCCCAAAATCCCCAGAGGAGAATGAAAGAGAAGGGATTGAGGCATGGCCATCCTTCCTGAGGATGGGGGTGATGGTGATTTCTTACTTTCTGTCTGTCTCTGTCTCTCTGGTGAACACACATACCCTATAGTAAAAATCTTGCTCTCAAAAAGTGAGCCCAGCAGGTTGTATGTTCGTTAAAGCACTGGGCACTCCCACATGGCCAAACACGGCTTGAGTCCCAGATGTGGTGGCTTAATTTCTCTCTCTCTCTCTCTCTGTGTCTCTTCCTGATCAAATTAAAATAAATTAATAAATTAAATTAAAATATTTTTTTAAAAAAGCAAGGTGTTTTTGTTTTTGTTTGGAGAGGTTTTTGCTATAGGGCACATGTGCTCACCAGAAAGACAGAGACAGAGACAGAAAGCGAGAAATCACCCCCCGGGGTGATGGCCACGCCACAATCCCTTCTCCTCCATTCTCCTCCCGGGACTTGGGCATGCACCCACACATGCCCAGCCTGCGTTTAAGCCACCAGGTCTGGGTCTCGAACTGCAGTAGACTACGGAGGAGTCCAGCAACATAGCCATTATGCTAACTGCTAGTCCCAAAAAAGCAAGGTTTTGAAAACTCAAATGGTATAAAAAAGGTTAACAAGTAAAGTATAGGAGACATCCTTGTAGTGCAGTGTTAGCAGTGCACAGAGGAAGACATCCCACACGGCTCAGCAGGGTTTGAGTCCTGGCCATGTCCTTGTGGCTATGTAGGAGTCCAGTGCCTTAACCACCATGCCACCTACCAGCCCCAAGATGAATAATTTTTTATTGATACCTAGGCATTGAAGATACTATGTTATGAAACTCTGGATATTATTTTTTAAATGTTTAGAGGTTTTTGCCTTACTGCATATGTACTCACCAGAGAGAGAGAGAGAAAGAGACAGAGACAGTGAGGGAAAGTGAGAAATCACTCACAATAGGGGATGGCCAGGCCACAATCCCTTCTCCTCCATCCTCCTCCCAGGATCTGGGGCACCCACACACAAGCCTGGTGTGATTTTCAAGCTACTTAGTCTTGGACTTGAACTGCAGTTGGTCATGTGGGAGATAACCACGACCCCATCTGCTGGCCTGAGACTATGATATTACTAAGTCCTTTATTTTAGCATGCTTTTTTCAATACTGCTACAAGTGGGAAGGGGGAGATGTTGCCTTATTACTGCCAGGAACGGTAGAAGTCCAAGTTCTCTACTGGCCCTTTATTGACATCTAAAACAGGGGAAGGGTGCTCTCTATTACAGGGTGGGAATGGGAATTCTGGTTCCCCATAGGTATCTAGTGATGCTTCCCTGGCTAGGAAGGGTAGAAGTGTCTTGTTATTGCTCCCCACATTGCCTCCACTGACACCTTGATTCAGAAGGCCTTGTTAGTGCCAAGCGGCCAAGGAAGTCCTAACTGAAGACTAGGTTTCCTCAGACACAACCTTAGCAAGGTGAGGGAGGGTGCCTGGACATTGCTGCATCAGGGTGGAAGTAAACGATCCCATGTAGTGTGATGTGGACCTGATGTGGGTCTGCCACCACCACTGCGGTGAGGCCCTCCTTGGTAGTACCTGCTGGAAAAGAAAGCTCTGGGTCCCTACTCAAGACTTTTCTGATATAATCTTGATAAGGGGTAGGGATTGAGGTGTCATTACAGCTCAGTGGAGGTGGAATTTGAACTCTATTTGCTCATGTTGGTCTGGGTGAGACCAGAGTATTTTCTGTGCTATTTGACAGAGCATTTATTTACTGTCTGTTTTTTGTTTTGCTAGGCGGCTGCTTTCTTGGTCCTTTCAGTGAAGAGAGAAGGCTTTTTTGTAGTTGTTCTCTGTGCCCTTGAGGTTTCTGGGCTGTTCATCTACAGTGCCAAGTCTGGGATATTTGAGGCAAAAAGAACATCAAGGGAAGTCACCATCATGTCCTATTTTGGGTCTTTAGGTCCTTGTCAGTCTGCCTTCTTTCTACCTTTCAGAGTTTTTATGTTTATTTTATACAGTGTCTAAGATTGTTAGTTGTACTTAGGGGAAAGAACAGAGAAAAATATCTCCACTCAATTTTGCCTGAAAGTAGAAATACACCCTAGAAAAAAAAAGTTAATTGCTAAAGGGTGCATGTGCTCATTAGAGAAAAATAGAGAGACAAAGAAAGCACTCACACTGACAGGGCGCAGTCACACTGTAATTCCTTTTGCTCTATTTTTCCATCCTGTTGAAATTCTGGATACACACATGCCCAGTGTGTTTCCCAAGTAGCCAGGAATTGGATTTACTCTACAGTTGGACATGTGGGATCTGGCTCCATTAACAACTAGGTTACAAGATGAGTCAAAAGAAAAAAGTTTTTTTTTCTCTTATTTAACTTTATTTATTTTATATTTAAACAATTTTTTTTAGAATTTTTTTTGAGAGTTTTTTTGCTATAGGGTGCATAACGCTTACCAGAAAGACAGAGAGAGACAGAGAGACAGAAAGCAAGAAATCACCCCGCCCCCAGGGGGGATGGCCATGCTACAATCCCTTCTCCTCCATTCTTCTCTCGGGATCTTGGGCATGCATGCACATGCACCTGGCGTGATTTTAAGCCACTGGGTCTAAGACTCGAACCATGCTCGGCTACATGGGAGTCTAGTGACATAGCCATTACACTAACTGCTGGTCCCATTTATTTTATATTTAATTTGATCAGAGAGGGACAGAGTGAGAAAGAGAGAGAGGGGGAGAGTGAGAAAGCAAGCCGCCAGGCCCTGCACTCAAACTGTGGTTGGCCATGTGGGAGTCTAGCACCCTTAACCACCATGATACCTGCCAGCCCCAAGAAAAGTATTTTAATTTAGTAAATTAGTGAAAGGGTAGAGGAAGACAGTTAATGTCTACTAATTGTCACAGTGGAAAATGCTTGTTATAAAAAAAGCTGACCTAAAAATCCACATGAAGGTGACCTTTCAGACAGTGTATAAAAATGTGTTTGCAGGGGCCAGCAGGTGGTGTAGTGGTTGATGTGCTGGACTCCCATGTGGCCTACCGTGGTTCAAGTCCTGGACCCAGTGGCTTGAAACTCATGCCAGATATGTGTGTGTGCATGCCCAAGAGAAGAATGGAGGCCAACACCCCTGGGGTGGGAGGTGACCTTGCTTTCTGTCTTTCTGTGTCTCTGACAGAAACAGAGACAGTGAAAGGGAAAGTGGGAAATCATCCCTGGGGGAAGGAGGGGGTGGCCATGCCACAATCCCTTCTCTTCAGTTCTCCTCACAGGTGTTGGACATGCACACACACACGCCTGATGTGAGTTTCAACCCACCGGGTCTAGGACTTGAAATGTGGTCTACCATGTAAGAGTCCAGCAACATAATCACCAGGCCATCTAGTAGCCTCCTGCTCAAAGATATTTTAACATGTCTTCCCTGTGTGGTCACACTGTAATTAATTTTATTTTCCTCTCTCACCAACAATTTTGCCTCTCTCTGTTTTGATAAGTGGCGAGGGGTGTGGCCTGCTTTGGGTTTCTGGACTGGGGATGTAAAGAGCTTTGACTGGTAACACCCTTCCCTAGACTCTGCCTCCAATGTCTCTCTACCGACTCATGCTCCATGCTGTCATTACAATGTCATATGTGGAGCTCTAACGGAGGTCTACGGAGGCAGGCAAGAGAGCTCACACTGTCCAGTAGGAAACATGCCGCAGTGCTTGGGCACTAATCTTGCAGTCTGAGATGAAGGAGTGGGAACATGTTAGGTTTTCATGGGGAAAGTTAGTTAACCATTCTCCATTCTAACAGTTACTCATAGAATGAACTGTTCCCAATTCATGATTTGGCTGTTTTATATATTTGCTAGCACAAATGCTAGCATAGTGAAAATAGATCCGATTCACAAAGGTTGTTTTGGAACGATCTGTTTACTATGATGCCAATGTCATGCTGGGGGAAAGAAAAAAGTATTACAGAAAGCATTTTGTGCTTCAATGAGTTCTTGAACTGCTGAATGGCAAATGACAAGCTCAACAGGTTTCTTTAAGATGGCCATGGGTTCAGGTTAGCCTGCCATGATCCTGACTTACGGCTGTCATCTTCCTGTCAGCTCTGGTTTAGTTTTCATTCTAGACAAAAGCAACCCTATTTAGACAATACACTACATGGATACTTTTTTGTTGTTGTTATTTTAAATTTGCCAGAGCGCATATGCTTTTGCTAGCAAGAGACAGAGGGAGAGGGAGACCCCAAAGGGGCATAGTCATGCTACAATCCCTTCTCCATTTCTATATCCTATTGAGATTTTAGGCTTGCAGACATATGCGTGCCTGTCATGTTTTTCAAGTCACCAGGACTTGGATTCAAACCATACGGTCCAGAATGTAGGATCTGGCTCCCTTAATCACCAGGTCACAGAGCCTGCCCAGGTACAATTCTATGTGTGGCTTTTCAAAGTCTTTGCTGTTAGATCACAATATGCACTGTGAATACTTAAGAAGTAGATTTAGTATGCTGACTAGCCCAATCCTATCTGACTTCAGAACGTTCTTTTCCATACCAAGAGATATTAGCTCTTTCCTCCACAGAACAGAGCAGAAGTCCTCACTTTGTCATCTACTACCCAATATAAATATTTAAGTATTACCAATCTACTTGCCATCTTCATGTGGAATCTTTTCAAATATCTATTAGGACTACAAACATTTCTCCTTCCTTTACTGGCAAGTGATTATAATTTTATATTCTACTATCTTCTTAACATCATAATTTAAGCATTTATTGTTATTTTAAAAATTCCTCATAAACATTTAAAATTCCTGGACTTACTAGAATTCCATAAACATTTTTTCTACTCAGTTTGGAGTTGAAGAATCTAGGAAACAACTCTTTAGGTGGTAATTAGAAAAAGTGAATATATTTTTCCCCCAATTGCAGTGTTTTAAAATATGGACTATGCTACTGGACCACGAAGGTACAAATTCTGGCCCTGTCTCTTTCCAATTCTGTGATCTTAGGCAAATGGCCTAATTTATCTGTGTCTCTGTCTCCCTATCTCCAAAATGGAAATGAGAGGGTTGCTGTGAGGATTAAATGAGAAGGAATATTTGGAAAGTGCTTAAATGAGTGCCTAGCAACAAAGTATTACATAGTTGTTTGCTATTATCATTATTACTATTGGTTATTCATTCAACAAATGTTTCTCAAGCACCTCATATGTGCAAAGCACTAAGAATGAAAGTAGCAACGACAACAACAAAAATCTCTGCTGCCATAGAGGATTAAACTAGTCAAAGGTAATCATGACATCAAAAACAAATACATATGTTCAATAGATAACTATTATAAAGAAGAAAATGAGGATAAGGAGCTATAGAGGGATGAGGGTTGTGGGGAAAGGCTTTTCTCTTCTAAGGGTATCACAGGGAAGATAGACTTGGAAGGAACTGAAGAAGAAAGTCATGTGTTTATATGGGCAGAATGTTCCAGGAATGGCATGTTCAAAGACTGAGTGGCAGGAGTATTCTAGACTAGCTGGCTGGAGCAGAATGAGCTGAGGACAGGCTAATGGAAGAGGTTAGTGAGAAAATGTGGGCAGCTTATACTGGGACTTGTAGGACACAACCAGGACTTTGGATTTTGTCCCAACTGATATAGAAGACCAGAGAGGGGTTTGGCTTATGAAGATGCCCACACCTTCTGCTACGTTAGAACAGTATAGAGGAAAGCAGGATCACCAGATAGGCACTGCAGTAGCTGGAGGACAGGGCTTGGATTAGGGTTGTGGTGATCAAGGTGGGAAGCACTCTTCAGATTCTGGAATATACAGAGCTATACGTAAGAGTTCAAGGCTAGTGAAACAATGGACTTGCCACTAATTTGGATGGAGAAGTCTGGAAATCCAAAGCTTGGTTTTAGACCTATTAAATAGTTAAATGTCTATTAAGACATCCACTATGAAAAATGCACAGCAGGCAATTAGATAGTCAATTACAGAATTCTGGAGAGAGTCAATTGGTGATATTTGGAAAATTGACACTTACTTAAAGCCATGAATCTGTATGAAATCTCTCAGGGAGTGAGCAAAGTTGGGAGAGTCTCATGGAGTTTGGGGTCTAGAAAATGAAATTAAATCAGCAAAGAAGTATGGGTCAGAGAGATTCATCAACAGACAATTACGGGAAGGATGTTATTAGTCAAGTCATTAATGTCCAAGTTAGTTTGGGTGATGAGATTTCTGCCTCCTCCCCATAGGAAAAAACTCTTTGGAGTATTTCTTTGGCCCACAATCTCAGGGAATGCTGTCAAAATGTAGAATAAAAGGAGTTTCTCAATTAGAATCACTCTTTTTCCTTTCGGTTTACTTTTTAAAAAGAGCACTAGGACCAGCAGTTGGCATGGTGGGTATGGCGATAGATTCTCACAAGAATGACCACAGTTCAAGTCCCAGACCTGGGGGGCTTGCTTTCTCACTTTCCTTCTTTCTCTGTCTCTCTGATCAACTGGAATATTAGAACAAATAAAGTTAAATAAAGTAATTCTTTTGAATAAATAAATAAATAAATAAATAAATATAAGGGTGATGAGCAGGTGGCATGGTGGTTAATGCATTGGACACCCACAGATAAAAAAAAATTAAAAAAAATAAAAAAAAAAAAAAAAAAAAAAAAAAAGAGCGGGGCCCAGGTCGACTAACTCACCACCCCTGACTGTCGCACCTAAAAACTGATTGGGCCTAAAGAGAGGTCCCCCGGTAGGCGGGGCCAGGAAGTGCCCAGGCAGGCTCTGGCCAATGAGCGGACATGTAGCGTGAGAGAAGGCGGAGCCACCGTGCCGCCGAGATCTGGGAAGGTGGTATCCGCCGCCACAGCGTGGAAACTCCTCACCCAGTTCTGCTCCGACTTGGGCTCGCATTTGGAAGACTCACCTCGAGCTGTGGCCTCCTCACTGCTGTAACCCCGAGATTCCCGGTTGCACGGAAAGCTCAATATTCATCCGGAGGGAGCCTCAAAATTCCAGGGCAGGCCTACCCAAAGCCTGCGCCTGCGGAGCGGCCTAGGCTATCGCGCAACCCCCTGCTCCAGGATCTGCGCGTGCGCGGCGGGGCCGTGGATTCCGGAAGCCGGAGCTGCCCGGATTTACTGTTCTTGGGGTGGGTGGCTGCTTGTGTATTTCTGAGGACTAGAACCGCCGAACGGAATTCTTTGGCCCCGTTTGGTGCTTCCCAGGCTCGGGATTTTTGTTTTTAAACCTCATTGTCAATTCCCAGCTATTGCTATTGTTGGGAGTATAGCGGGACTGTTTCTCTGGACAAGACCTGTTCTGTTAAAGTAACTCGCTTCAAACTCGAACGTGTAAGAATCACTGGGGGTCCTGCTAAAATGCAGGTCGGAATCGGTAGGTAGGAGTGGGGGTCCCAAATTTTGCATTTTTAATATTTTCTAACCGGAACAGTAGCAAAGCATTCTAGACATGAGATTGGATGGATGGTGGCCATGAAGGCCTTTGGTATTACCTCCCAATAACCGAGCCTGGAGGAAAGGCATGAATAGTTTTATCCTTAAAAGTTTGAAGGAGATTCCAACACGGAGAGATTAGAAATGTTTATATTTCAAGTCCAGCTGTATGCAATATAATACAAAAATATCATATGCTCATTTAGAAATGTCATTGTACGTGAGCGCTGACATTCATTAGTATTAGGTATCACTGCTAAATCACACTTTTTAATTTTTGAGAGAATTTTTGCTATAGTGCGTGTGTCCTGGCTGGAGAGACAAAGACAGAAGACAAGAAATCACACCCCAGGAGGGATGGCCACGCTGTAATCCCTTTCCCTCCATTCTCTCGGGGTTCTAGGCATGCAGGCACACAGGCTTGGCCTGATTCTGAGCTACTGGGGCCAAGACTCGGATTGTGGTAGGCCCTGTGGGAGCCCAGTGGTGTAATACGCCATCATCTGCTGGTCCCAAATTATACATTTTTAAAACAATATGGCCATGACCAGCAGATGGCGCAATGGCTATGTCACTGGACCCCCATGTAGGGGACCACACTAAGTCCTGGACCCAGTGACTTAAGCTAATGCCAGGCACACATGTGCATGCTTGCCCAAGATTCTGAGAGGAGAATGGAGGAGAAGGGATTGCAGCGTGGCCATCTCCCCTGGGGGGTGATTTCTCCCTTTCCGACTCTGTCTTTCTGGTGAGCGCAGAAACCTCTATAGCAAAAACCTCTCAAAAAAAAACTCACAAAAATATGATCATACATAGTTCTCATAGCTGCATATACTTCACGCTTTGTGAACATTTTACAGTGTCATTATATAATCAGCTTTTTTTTTTTTAACATTTATTTATATGCTTGTGATTTTTCAAGCCACTGGGTCAAGGACTTGAACTGCAGTTAACCTCGGAATCCAGGGACCACACCACCTGCTGGGCCATATAAGCAACTTCTTTTTCTTCCAAGCTTTTCTATTTAATGAAAAAAATCTCTATCATAAAGCAAAATTAAGGGAATTTTACAGTGGCTCAATTACCAAAAACATAACTTCTGTCCATCTCCATTTAGTATGTCTGAAGACGTTCTGGGTTGTCACAACTAGAAGGATGCCACTGGCATCTAGTATGGAAGAGCCAGGAATGCTGCTCAACTTCCTGCAATGTACAGGATACCACATTCAGAAAATGTGTAGGTCTAAAGTGTACGTGGTAGTTGCTAGTAAAGTTCTCTGTAAGTATGCCAGCTTGCATATCATTGGAGATCAAATTAAGTTTTTTTTTTTAAGAGGTTTTTGCCATAGGGCGCATGCACTCGCCAGAGACAGAGAGAGACAGAGAGACAGAAAGCGAGAAATCACTCCCCCAGGAGGGGGGGCCATGCCGCAATCCCTTCTCCTCCATTCTCCTCTCGGGATCTTGGGCACGCACGCACATGCGCCTGGCGTGAGTTTTAAGCCACCAGGTCCTGGACGTGAACCGCAGTCGACTACTTGGGAGTCCAGCGACATAGTCATTACGCTAACTGCTGGTTCCCAAATTAAGTTTTCTTTTGAAGTAAAAACAAGTGCACATCTTGGGATCAGAAGTTGGTATAATGGTTATGTCACTGGACTCCCATGTAGCTGACTGTTGTTCAAGTCTTGGACCCAGTGGCTTAAAACTCACGCCCAGTGAATGTACATGCATGCCCCAAATCCCGAGAGGTGAATGGAATTAGAAGAGGTTGTGGCATGGCCATCCCACCTTGGAGGTGATTTCTTACTTTCTGTCTCTGTCTCTCTGGTGAGCAAACATGCCCTATGGCAAAAAAATCTCTTGCTCAAAAATGTGCACATATGGGACCAGCAGGTGGCGTGATGGTCAAACATGCCCTATGGCAAAAAAATCTCTTGCTCAAAAATGTGCACAGAGGGGACCAGCAGGTGGCGTGATGGTTAAGGCGCTAGACACTCCCACATGGCCAACCATGGTTTGAGTCCTGGACCTGGTAGCTTGCTTTCTCACTTTCCCTCTCTTCTCTCTCTCTCTCTCTCTCTCTGTGTCTGGTCAAATTGACATAAATGAATGAATAAATAAATAATTTTTAAAAAGTGCACATATTAAATGTACATTTGCTGAATTTTGACAAATGCATACACCTGTTTAACTTAAACCCTATTAAGAGATAGACTATTATCACCTCAGAAAGTTCCATGCTCAATGTTCTGATTTTCCTCCACCATAATTAGTTTTGCCTGTTCTAGAAACAGATGTTTGGGAACAGATATGTAAGGCTTTTATTCATTCAGTACATTTTAATGATTTGTCTATGTTCTGTGTATGAGTAGGTCCTTTTTTTTTTTTTTTTTGATTGCTTAACTTGATCTCATTGTATTTCTGTGGGATAAAATTTGGCAGCTGATTCTGTGAATAATTGAGAGATGAGGCATAGAGGGGAGAAATGGAGTTTATGTAGCTGTGAAGCACAGGGAATGGCTAGGGCTGGCAAGCTCACAACCAACTCCCAGAAAAGAAATTGCCAGTGCAGAGACCAGCAGTTAACGTAATGGCTATGTCGCTGGACTCCCACGTAGTCGACCGCGGTTGGAGTCCCGGACCCCCGGTGGCTTAAACTCACCCTGTGTGTGTGCATATGCGTGCCCAAATCCCGAGAGGAGAATAGAGGAGAAGGGATTGCTGTGTGGCCATCCCCCGTGGGGGGTGATTTCTCACTTTCCTTCTCTCTGTCTCTGTCTTTCTGGCGAGCGCACATGCCCTATAACAAAAACCTCTCCAAGAAAAAAAGTTAATTGCTAGTGCAATATATACTGTTGCACTTCTCACTTATCCATTGTTATATACTACGTATATTTAGCTCGTTCAGTGTTAGTCTTACCTTAATGATTTTCCCAAAATTGTTCTGTGCACCTTTTTCTTTCACATGACATTATAACCCTACTTTTGTTCTTAGGGCAACAATAAATCTGTTAACTCAGACTTGTGACATACATTGATAGATTAAGGGATGCTACAACATAATTTCTTTTTTAAAAAAATATGTATTTTTTTTTTCAGAGGTTTTTGCTATCAGGCATGTGTGCTCACCAGAAAGACAGAGAGAGAAAAGTGAGAAATCACCCCCCCAGGGAGGATGACCACACTGCAGTCCCTTCCTCCATTCTCTTCTTGGGATCTTGGGCACACACGCACATATGCCTGCATGAGTTTAAGCCACCAGGTCTGGGACCTGAATCGTGGTCAACCACATGGGAGTCCAGCGACATAGCCATTACGCCAACTGCTAGTCCCTAATTAATTAATTATTATTATTTAATTTGCTTTAGGGCATGTGTGCTCACCAGACAGAGACAGTGAGCGTGAGAGAGAAGGAGAAAGTGAGAAAGCAAGCCACCAGGTCTGGGATTCCAACATACTCAGTAGACAGAGACAGAGAGCGAAGAGACAAGGGGAGGGAACCAGCAGTTAGCGTAATGGCTATGTCGCTGGACTCCCACGTAGTTGACCGCAGTTCGTGTCCAGGACCTGGTGGCTTAAAACTTAGGCCGGGCGTGTGTGCGTGCGTGCCCAAGATCCCGAGAGGAGAATGGAGGAGAAGGGATTGCGGCGTGACCGTCCCCCCTGGGGGGTGATTTCTCGCTTTCTGTCTCTCTGGTGAGCGCACGCGCCCTATAGCGAAAACCTCTCAAAAAAAAAAAAAAAAAGAGAGAGAGGGAGAAGGGGAAAGCGGGAAAGCAAGCTGCTGGGTCCGGGACTCTAACGGCAGTTGGCCATTTGGGAGTCCAGCACCTTAACCACTGTGCCACCCACTGACCTCTAACATATTTAAGCTATACTGTTTAACAAAATGATCTAAACATATTTTAGTAACTATTATGGTAATTTATAACTTTATTACAATTCTCAATTTAACATGTTACATTGTGTTCCTTAAATAAACATTCTCATCCCTTAAGATTTCCTACCTGGGGCACCAGCAGATGGCATAATAGTTATGTCGCTGGACTCCCATACGGCTGACCAGTTTGAGTCCCAGAGCTGGAGGCTTGAAACTCATGCCAGGTGTGTGTGCATGCATGCTCAAAATTCTGAGAGGAGAAGGGATTGCATGTGGCCATCCCCCCTGGTGGGGGGTGACTTCTCATTTTCTGTCTCTGTGTCTCTGTCTCTTCATACAGAGTGCACGCATCCTATAGCAAAAATTTTCATAAAAGAAATAATTTTTCCTCTGGGACTCTGGTCCTGTTACATTTTTGTGACCATTGTCTAAAGCAAGTGGCTTATATTTCCTCTTTTAAGCACACATGCTGATTTATGATATTTGTTCTAGTCGTTACAGATTACATTAGTTACAGAAACTACAAGAGCCAGTTAACCCGTAAAGTTTAAGAAATAGGGACCAGCAGTTAGCGCAATGGCTGTCGCTGAACTCCCATGTAAATTGACTGCGGCTTGAGTCACGGACTCGGTGGCTTAAACTCAAGCTCGGTGTGTGTGCATGTGTGCCCGAGATCCCGAGAGGAGAATGGAGGAGAAGGGATTGTGGCATGGCCATCCCCCCTGGGGGATGCTTTCTCGCTTTCTATCTATCTCTGTCTTTCTGGTGAGCACACGTCCATAGCAAAGACCTCTCCAAAAAAAATAATAAAGTTTAGGAAAGAGGAATAAAGGAAAGCAAAAAAAAAGGGTTAAAAATCGTTTGGCTTTTCCTGTTATGGTATGAATATACCAGTTGTTTTCTATTCTTTGAAACCTGGGCTGTTAACAGTCTTTTGGCTGTTATGTATAAAGTTGCTGGAACATTCTTGTATTCTTGTGCAGTGTTTCATTTCTTCTTTCTTATTAGTTTCTTCACCATGGAGTGTGTGTGTGTTTACAGGAGAGAGTAACACGCACCCAAAATGATTTTCAAGCCACTAGGTCTGGGACTCAAATCACGGTTGGCCATGTGGGGGGTCCAGCGACATAACCAATATGCCATCTGCTGGCCCCAGCATTTTATTATTTATTTCTTTTCGGAGAGGTTTTTGTTAGAGGGCGCGTGCGCTCGCCAGAAAGACAGAGAGAGACAGACAGAAAGCGAGAAATCACCCCCCAGGGGGATGGTCACGCTGCAATCCCTTCTCCTTTTGAGATCTTGGGCATGCACACACATGTGCCTGGCATGAGTTTAAGCCACCGGGTCCAGGACTCGAACCACGATTGACTACATGGGAGTCCTGCAACATAGCCATTACGCCAACTGCCTGTCCCTGATTTCC